TCAAGCATTTGTACCCACATGTCCCTTGGTGCAAGTTCATCTGCTGGAGTCTAGACTAGAGTCATTGTCTTAAAGTAGATCTACTCTTCTTCAACCAGTAATAATCAGTTGCCAATAGTTCCTCAGCTAAGGTTGGGGCATGCTGCCCATTTCCCCAGTTTTTGTCTAATTGAGTTGGCATTGGTTTTGTACATGCTGTCACCACTGATGTAACTTCATATGAGTGATTTCCAAAAGTCCAGGAAGTCTATTTTCTTATGTTCATGCACCAACAGCTAGACCCTGTCTTGAGAAACAAACAAAAACCTTTTTAACTCTTGATACTTGTATAGAAATTAACCAAGTGTGTATGTAGGAGAAGAGAGAGAATGAGAAAGAACTGCTATACCGTTTTTGGCCTGACCCATTGCTCTGACTTTTGATATACAGGAATGTTTAAGGAATTCTGAAAGATCAGTTCTCTAGATTTGAGAGGTTGAGCAACTGACTACACAAGCCACAAGCTCAGGAAGAACTCTGATAAATGTAGACTTTATTAACCCATAGGTCTATTCAAACATGAGACAGGTGTGGTTACTGACCAAATTTAGATGTATGTTCTTTAGTGTTTCCAGAAATCAGTCTAGATAATGAAAAGGGATAAGCAAAGGGAAGCATAGCTGAGGGGTTTGAAAGGAGAAGCCAAGGCAGTGTTGTGCTGGAAGGTACATGAGGAGAACTTGCTAGGGATGATCACTGGTGTCCCAAAGTCAAGGGAAGAGGCTGCACAGGACTTTAGCCTCCTGTAGATGTATTTTTGTTGTTGTTGTTGTTTTTTAAGTAAAATCTTTCTTAAAAAAAAAAATATATATATATATATAGTGAAGTTTGGGGGGGCAGATAGGAATAAGAAATCAAAGACCAAAATATTTGCCAATATGGGGTCAACTTTGGTGGAATAATGAAGGTTTCCATTAAGGTTTCCATTAGCTCTGTTCTTTTGTTTTGGAAAATTCTAATGAGTTTATTGGGCTTGCTAACAGAGCATAGGGTGGCAGTTTAGTTACAGAAGAGTCGGTGTCCCCCCCCCCCTTTATGACTGCACTGGAAAGTTCACACTCAAATATAGATCCTGTGACTTCCCCAACAGCCTCACAAAATGGCAAGAGAGAGCCCTTATGGCATTCTCAGCTTATATATCCTTAGCCCCTCCCCTACGTGCAGCTAAGATTGACTGATTGGGTGGGAGGGGTAACTGGGGAGGGGTAACTGATGCCCCCATCGATTCCTTGAGGAGCGTGGGAAGGAGGTGTGACTGTAGCTTGCCAGCATAGTGGTCTGAGGACACTTCCATAACACTCCACCCCTTATCTGGCTCTTACATTTTTTCTGCCAACCTCTTCCACAAAAGTCCCTGAGCCTTGGAGGGGGTGATAGGTATGGGATGATCTTCCTCCCATTGTGGCAAGGCACTGAACTTTCAGGTCTCTGATTCAGTGAATAAAGGAATGGGAGCTTGGCTAGAGGGGTTATGGTGTCTTCTAGGTTGCCCTTAGAGGTAGGCAAGAAATTGGGTGGTGCCTGTTTTGATGGAGAAAGCTATCGTTTTTGTTGGATAGAAGAATTAGTATCATTTTTATACACTGACCTTCTTGTGTGTATCTGGAAATTAGATGGCTAAATACTCACAGTGCTCTGTGAGGACAGAAGCTGAGATTGGATGAAAGCCCTGTGAACAGATCATTTGGGATTATAGGGTGTTTGGGAAATGCCATGGCTACACTTGGTGACATGAGAACAATAGCATCACAGAAGGAGGACAGAAGGCAGGCCTGAAGATAGACTGAGCAGCAGCAGTGGAGACAGCAGTCAAATAGTTCCCATATGCATTTTGTGCAGTTTCTGTTTGCTGTAGCCTCTAAGGTGTCAGTATGAAAATTGCAATAAAAAAATTTCAATAGATTTCAATGTCCACTTCACCTCTTTGGGAAGAAGTAACTCAGAATGATTTAAAATCAGCATGTGGGAGGCTTCTTGAATGTGCTGAATGCTCTGAAAACAGTGTATTTTCTGTTGAAAAACTGGAATGGTAGTTTATGTACAGCAATTATGCTGTATCTCTGAAACGATATCTTCCTGGAACTCTGTTACCTGATAATGTGGGTATGGTGATGAATCAAGCAGTGTAATTAATAAGGACCTACAGCATGTAATTTAATGAATTATCAGTGTGGAAGCAGAAATAAATATGTGTACATGGTATGTACTGAGATGTAGATCAGCTGGTGAGACATGCTCACCAGCTAGCACTACAAATCCGGAGATTTGTTGGACACCAGAGAGTCAGGAGCTCCAACTCTTCTTTCCAGGAGTAGAGACTTTGTTCCATCCATTCATCCAGAGGAGGCTTTGCGGTAATCATTCCTGTCAACCATGAGACTGGAAAACAGAGTTAAATAATTAATTAATCAAAGAGATTATGAGATTTGAGAAGCATCCAGGTCCCATAATTATCATCTGTAAAACAGCCATGTATTGTATCTCCAAATAATGTTCATTATTTAAAAAAATAATTTTAGGATATAAGATGACCTAATGCCCAAACTATAAGTTTTCTACTATATATTATCTCTTCCTATGGTTTTCTTTTTTAAAAAAAATATTGAATTTTTGTGATTTCATACAATATAATTTGATGCTATTTAGATCCCCCTATCTGCACTTCCCCTTACTGCCCAATTTAATGTACCCTGTTTTATATAGAGTCTATAAAGTCTAATTTGTATTCACACATGTCCTTCAGTGTGGGACCATCCACTGGAGCCTGCTTAACCTTGTAAGAGTCACACCCTTGAAAGAGACTCGCCCCCGCCCAGCAGCCATAGGTGGCCAATAGTTCCTTAGATAGGATTTGGGGTTCTTTTTTTTTTTTTTTTTTGAGGAAATGTACTGTGGTATGCAACTCAGGGTTGTAAATTAAACACTTGATTCCATCACCAGACACCGTTTAGTCTATGACCTTGTAAAACAAAATATCTAAACAACTGTGTTTTCCTATTAGATAAGTAGATGTAACATTGTCACTGCACATTCTTTGAGCTTTTGTGGGTGTCAATGTAGAAAACAGTAAAGTTTTCAGATAGTAAATATATGTAATTATCTACTGAGTTATCAACTTTAAGCTTTTGTATTACATTTCTGACACATGTTCTTTTTTTCCTCTCTTTTCCTGAATATTTAAAGTATATTGATTATACTGAGAGTTAAGAATGGCAGGAAGGAAGAAAAGTAAGACTCATTTACAGAAAACTGTTTATATTACCAATTCAATATGCCACTGCCTTCTTGGATGGTAAACTAGAATGAACATTCCTAATGTGTATTAGAAGTCACCAGTATGCAAAGTTAAAATCATAGAAGTAATGATAAAAATAATTCCACCTCACTTTTTCAATTGATTTTATCTTATTTTTTATGTCAAGATTGAAAGCATTAAATACTTCATTTTGACCAGATGATTAGAAATATCTAGTTTTGCTGATTACACTAGAATAATCATTCATTATTAATCTATTTAAGTCTTATCTCAAGTCAGTTCATCAGTGTTAGCAATTAAAGATAGAGAATGCATGTGCTCAATTTCAAGAATTAAAAATAATGCCTAGGGAGTAAGCATTCCTTTTCTGTGGTAGAAGGATTGTTGGATTTTCCAATTAAAGAAGTCTCCATCCTGGAAATGAGTAGTCAATTATGAAAATTATTTTTGAATAGCTAATTTACATATCCCTAATTGTATTCATTTCTTTTGAAAGCCTGAAGTTGGAATTTATGATGTTTTGATTGGTTACCCCTCACTTGTGTTATTAATATTATTGCCAACAAGGTTCCCCTATGAATGGGGCTTTGAGTGCCTTTTCTGAATAAATTTTTGAATCATAAGTACGCTTGTTTTATTTAATGAATGAAAAATATCCAAAGGTTTACTAGCAATTTTCACATTTATACACACTGCACTTCCCTGGGTGGACAGCATCCCTGAGCTGCCTCCTGAAAGAACATTGGACTTTTCTATCTCAGCCAAGGAGGATCATTTGAAGTTCCTTGACCAGAATGCTACCTTCTGGCCAAAAATGAAGTCACAGCAGGGCTGCCCTCACTTGTCTACATAGGTAGTAGAAAATCTAAAATATTTCCCTTTCTTAATGAGAAATTACTGGAAAACAACATTTCAGGACTTTGTATTAATGGTAAAAAAAAAATATATATATATATATATATGACATAAAATTGAGTTGAAGATGGAAGCAATTAAGTTAAAAGGATTGATGTTAGTCTCAGACAGCATTCCATGGACTAAAACAATTCTGCAAAGTCTATTATGAAGAAAAAAACATGAAAACCTTTACAAACATGGGTACCTGTATGTAAAAGTCATACATTGTTTAAAACTATTAGCACACTATATATTTGTATGTATGGATTTAGAGTGTGTCTACTAAGATAGATATAATGAGTTATTTTGCAAAGTGTTTTACTTTTTGAGACTGGAATTTCCACTTATGCAATGCACATCTATTGCTTTCGTGCACATCTAAGCATATTAGGAAATATTGTGAGGGTGGGGATTGGGTAAATAGTTCAATGGTAGAATGATTGCCTAGCTTATATGAGGCTGAAAGTTCAATTCTCAATAACAGAGAGAGAAAGAGAGAGAGGAAAAACTCATCAAGAGAGAAGGTAATAGGTAGACATTTCATTCCTTTAACAAGAGCTGGCCAAAACTATTTCAGGAATAGACCAAATAAACAAAAGAACAAAGTGTTCATTATTTTCTGTCCATGGTGCTTATAGACTTTATATTACTGGAGAATTAGGAGTTGTGGTATAGTAACATTAAAGATTTTAAGTTTTGAAGGAGACATTTTATTTAAAACCAAATAAAGATCACAATCAACTAGACACAGTGTCCCTGTGAGAAGCATGTCCTACAAAGTAATTAGTGTTGTTGGACTTGTTTGCAGCTGATTGCTGTGTTTGACGAACAAGAGCCACTCTGCAAGATTGAGAGCCCCAGTGGAAACCCTGCGGATCGGCAGAGCCCAGATGCTTTTGAGTCAGAAGTGGCCACCCAACTGGCGGTGTTTAAACCAATTGGTGGGGAAATCGAAGTAACCCCGTCTGCTCTTAAATTAGGTATGTGTGTTTTGTTGATGATACTTTCCACTGGGTTGAAAAACATATCAATTTATTAACTATGTTTCTTTGTGAAGTTCATTCTATTAATGTTTTTATTTGTTGGAAAAAAAGTTCTGGCATGTCTTTCCTCTGAATAATTTTTATACAGCTCTTTGCAGCTGCTGGAGCTCAAGCAAGGAGATGCAATTTTAGTCTTGAACTGAAGGTGACTCTGAATTGCATGCCCTTGAAGGACCATACGGGGAATCAAACTGTAAACGATGAAGTTTGTCTGTGTCATATAAGTACCACTTTTTTTTAAAGTTCTTGAAAAAAGTCATTTGGAAAAAGCTAAGAGTTACCAAGGAATCCAGACTAGAAATATAGTTCATTTTCTTATCCTTCCTGTTTTTCTTCATTCGTGTGTGTGTGTGTGTGTGTGTGTGTGTGTGTGTGTGTGTGTGATATCTGAGTTTGTAAAAAACAGAGGAGTTGGTTTACAAATTCTTTCCTGCTGGTTTATTCAAACAAGAACAGTTCACCTGGTGATTTTGCTCAGAATTCTTGTTAATAGTATTTGTTTTGAAAGTATTTGTAGAAAGTAAAAATAAATATTCTTTTAAAATTTCTGTCAATTACTACTCCAAGAAAAATAACATATCAGCTTTTGTTGATACATCTTAGAGATAAGTTAAGGTCAGTTTAACAGTATGAAGTTTCTGAAAGCCTACTAGTATATTAGTACTTAAAATAGTTTTTATTCCTGTTGATATGAACACAATATTCTGAGATTCCTTGGTTTACCTCTTAAAACTTAAGCTTTGATTCTCACAGCAGAAAGACAGACATATTTCCCATTTCTCAAAAGGAATCTGATTTTTCTTAAAGAACACACATATGCAGTTGTAAAAATTGGACTATCAAAATGGTTCGGCAGATAAAGGTACTCACTGCCAAGCATGGTGACTTGAGTTCCATTCTGGAACCCAAAAGATGAAAAGAACCCACTGCACAGCCATGCCATGGAGTACATGAACATACATTCACACAGACACATGGACACACAGACACACATACAGAGAAACATATACACAGACACTAAATATCTAAAAGAAAATTTTAATTGTAAAAATTATATAAAATTATATATAACAAAAATTAAATATATATATAAATTATATATGTATATATAACTCATTTTTCTCATTTGAAATAAAATATCTACTGTTTAGTTTATATATGACCATGCTAAGTAACCCAATTTTGTCTTTATTTTCTGAAAAACATCTGTAGTGTCCCTTTTAAACCCAATCAAATGGAAATTAATGATTTATGGTCTTTATGCTCATCCTGCACTGCCTGGAATCAAGTCAGCAAAGCAGCCTGCTGGACTGGATAGTAGAGGGCTGGTGGGTAGCTGAGCTTCTCTAGAGCCACGACTTGGCTTCAGCAACCTGTAGCCCCATCACTCATTTGCATGATAGATGCCTTTTTATCCTTTATACAAATGATATAAGAGGAAAATTGGGCAATAAAGGAAGACGAAAGGAGAAAATTGTTCTTGCTTGTTTTAATAGTCTGTTTATAAGCAAGTGTGGTGAGCCTCAAAAGGCTGAACCTCAGGGGATCCCTGCATCTGGAAATGTGCTTTCACCTTGCTCTTACTAGCTTTTCAGGGAAGAGTGTTTGTTTTCCTTGTGCTTCTTTGGTTTGTTTTGTTGGATGATAAACAAAATGATGCTGACTATAAGAAGAAAAGTAAACTGAATTTCTCCTCCTATCAAAATGGGCTCTCTCAGAAAATGATTTATTTTATTTTTGTTTTCTTCTGTTTGCTCCTGTGTGCACATGTGTGCAGGTGCCTATGGCGGCCAGAAAGAGGATGTGAAATTCCTAGAGCTGGAGTTATATCTGGTTATGAACTGCCCAGCATGGATGATGGGAACCAAACTTGCACCTACTGCAAGAACAAAATGTACTCTTAACCATTGAGCTATCTCTCCAGCACCATTATTCCCATAATACTTACTGTTTTTCTAAGACAGGGACAGAAAATAATAGCAATTCAATGAAGAATATATATCAGACACTTACCTGGAGAGAGCACAGTGAGTGACTTAAATCCTTTACTCCTTTATTTGCCATAACTCTTTTAAGCCTCAATGGTTAGCCAGTCAGGGTTTAGTATTTTCTTTTGGCAGATTACATAGGTACAGTGAGGTTTAGTAGCTCATCCAAAATCACACACCTTTCAAGTAGCAGAGCCAGAACTTGAACTCTGGCTGCCTCCTCTGTTAGAAATTATTTCACTGTACTGCTTTTGATATGATATTCATAAAGCAACTTATTGATATAGCTTTCCTGGAGTGTACTTTGTGAATATATACTAAACCTGGAAAAGGCTAAAACATTTTGGCTCATGCCCAGTTTATTTTGCAACATATAGTAAATGATGAAGAATACCTGACATTCAATTGGGTGATGAATGTTACCTATATACCATTCATCCCAAAACCTTGGCATCATCTCCAGTACCTCTGTAATCTCCTAATTCCTGACTTCTCTTTACTTCTTAGCTTTCTTGTACACATTCAGTGCAGCAGGCCAGGATGCTGCTAAGGCCCCAGATTGACCTGCATCTCCACAATGCCTGCCTTTTTCAATCCTGCTGTTACCGGAGCTACTATGTCTGATTCTATGATTCCTCTACTTCCATGACCTAAAAAGGCTCCCTATTGCCCACAAATCATGAAAGTGCTTAGAAAATGCCAGTCACTGAAATCTGGTCCTTCATGGCCTCTTCCCACTCTGTTCTTGTGGCCATTGTAACTGGTTCTGCTTTTCAAGGGACTTATTCATCCAGCCAAGTACTTCAGAAACAGGGACAAATTCTACTGGTGTTCTCACTCATAAGGCCCATTCAGTAAATGACAAATGTAATCACTATCTGCTCACACAGCCTTCTTACGTAAGGAGGCACAAATTAAAACATATTGGGAATGAAGACATTTTTATATTTAAGTTATATCGCTAAAATTTGTGTGTTGTTACTGATACACAGAATCGGAATATACTGAATATCCAATATAATTTTATATCTCTTTCTCCTACATAAGATAGCTATGAAGGTCGTCCATCTATCCTTTCTTTATCTTTCAGGTAGAATATTCACGCACAGAATTTGCTTAAGTTCATATTCACAGTGTCTTCGGATCTTCCAAGTTTGGCTTAAACTCTAGCCACCATGAACTACTTGCCTTTATCACTTCCCTTTCAATCTCTATGTCTCTGTGTTCCCTTTCCCTGACTCTCCTCTTTGCCTCTGTTTATCTGATGAATTCATTTGAGCTATTTATGTCCAATCTTAAATTCTATCTTATTTGGAAAGCCTAGTATAAATCTTTAAGACAGTAGCACAAATGTAGAAGTATACTTCCAATTCTTCATTTAGAGATAAAGGGTTAAGGGGATGAACGTCAGAAATCCTATAAGATAATGAGATATATATTTTTAATTTACAAGAGGAGTTTTTAATCAAGTAGCAACAACATAATTCAAACCTCATTCATCTAAATTATTCCTGCCATGAATTTTTTAGTGGATTTTCTAATGACTGACTGACCCCGACTGAGTTCCAACTAGCAAATTACTCTACTACTTCATGATTCTATAATTCTGAAATTGGTCTTTGCCTTTTCTCATATATCCTAGATAACTAACCCAACAAGACAGTTTAGAAATGAGAGCTGGTGGCTGGAGCAGCAGGTAGCATAGCAGAGTCATAGTCCCAGAATCAATTTGGACTTGAAATTACCTTCTTCAGTCTATCTGGAGCCCTTTAGTATTTCTGAAGTTATTTTCAGCGATTCAACAAATATTTGACCCTGGTTAACAATAACATTTACTGATTACTTGCATTCTAGATGCTATTGCATTCATGCCCATCTCTGAACAAGTAGGGTTGAATGACAGAGTGCAGAAGCTTGGTGAGGAGGCAATAAGCAGAGCCCAGATGCTGCTTACATGTTCTAGAACAACCCCCCCCCTTTCGTGTGTGTGTGTGTGTGTGTGTGTGTGTGTGTGTGTGTGTGTATACATGCTTATGTCAGGGGAACTTGCATCAAACTAATATGCAGTTTCCATAGTATGGACATTTCTGTGCCTTTTTCGATATTTCTAGTCTCTATATATAGGGTCATAAGTAAATAAACAAGCTATTGAGGGCTTTTACTTTGAGCTTTGGAAGAAGAGTCCTTTAGTCTTTCCCATGCTATTCTTCATGCTGTATTTTTGATCAGTGGTACCCTACCCTCTTTTCCCCAAAAGATGTTATGTAACCATAGCCCAAGGTTGGCACAAATCTTGTTCCTTGAGAACAAGTAACATGGAGCTGGTCCCAGACCCTAACATTTTTATCTAGATGTGTGTCCTAAGCCATTACACTTGTCTTTGTGAGGACTACATTTTTCCAAGCATAAATAAGAGCCCATTTCAATTTGTATGGAAATGAAAATTCAGAACCAAGGTCACCACTCTGTTTCCTCACACTCAGTTTTGTCAGTTATAAAGTGAGATATGATTAAAGCTTTTTAGCTTATGTGGGATGTGATTGTCCCAGAAATATTTCATTAATACCAAGCTGAGTTTGAACCCAGCTCCATGCTCTTGTCAATTTCCATCCCATGGCCCCAGTTAATTAGGAGTTTTATTTTGTGCCTTTTGGTAATTTTCTCAGTATGTCTTCATCGAAATTTGCTATTTTGGGTTCAGACTTACATGATAAGATATTTCTTCAGTTATAATTATTTTATCGGTGCAATTTAAATAGTGTTTCAGGATAAAAAGTACTTTAAATTTGGCTATTGCCACTCTTGTGATCTATGTTACCTAGATGTAATGCAATCTGATTAAAGTTTGGAGTTGCAAATGGTATTAGCTTTATTCTCCCCTGTGTGTTAAACTTTGAAGATGAGCTACTTTCTATTTGAAAGTGATTCTTGTTTAGGAGACTTGAAAGG